GTGGGCCATCTCCAAGGATTCTGAAATCTTTAAATGTTGTCTTCTAACAATGTTCATCCTGTCTTGTCCAACGAGCAGGGTACTTTATAGCATCTTTTCGACTTACCATCCTAATCTCCCTTCCTCCAATTTATAATTGGAATTAGTTTTACCTATTCTGCTCTTTGGCCCTCTAAGTTTCAACCCTTTACCTTGTTTCTTCGTAATTAATTATTTAACTTTAGGTCAGTTTGGTAATAGTCTAATAGATGATCAACCGATGACACAACAATAATGATCAATTACCGTCGAAATTTAGGAAAGGGATGAAGGATTTCTTACTGCTTCAAGTAATATAATAAATCTGAATAACCATTAGGTGAAGCTACCATGACTTGCATGAAACCAACTTGATCATGGTTAATCTTAGCGATTAGGCAAGGTAACAACCGATTAAATTTTGATCCTCAATTGATGCCAGATCTTATGTCTTCCCAATACAGGTTGTTCATTCAAGTTTATTTCACGTCACTTTTGACAGAAAAGAAGAATTTCTATCCAAGGCAAAAATGACAAAACAAGAGATTAAAAGTGATCCTATATTGTGCCTATCCTACGTCATACGTTAGTTCAGCAAGAAATTAAACAGGGGGGGTACCCTTTTGAATCCTAGGCAATTCTTAGCCATTATGCTAGGTTACATGATTTTGCTAGCCTAACCGCACCCACTAGTCGCTTATATATGTGTTCAGGGTTATGTCGTATTAGAGCAAAAAAAATCTTGATGTCGAGATTGGTGTATCCACTGGGCCGACTTCATGACTAGACTTTATTTTCGCGTGAAAGGATTAATCGACAGCAAGTAACAAAAGTATACCTCATGTGGACAATCTAGCTTCAGTTTCACTCTGCAGAAAGGAAAAAACAAAATTAATGTATTAGCCAGTGACTTCTTATTGACGGCCATTTGATTTCGGGTTTTTCACACACCTAGAAATTTGTTTTTACCACCCAAGCTGAGTGGCTGAGCAGTCTATTCATCTGTGGAAGTAACATGCAGTTGTCCAATACTGCTCTGAGGTTTCAACTTATATATACATATTTTAGGTACCCAAACTTACAATCAAGTCACTGGATTTAACTAAAAGATCAATTGCTTTCCAATTTCAATGAGAAGGGTAATAAAACAGAAAGATGGAAGCTGCAATAGTTACATTGTTCGAGCAAGTACGTATCAGAGAACTGTCTGCATTATTTCATGAAACAGAGATGGTAAGAAGGATGAAAAAACAAAATCAATGTCTCCAAAATGTCTAAACTGATAGAGATTCATCTATTTGAACGTCTTCATTGGAATTTAAAAACAGAATTTTTTTTGTCAAGATCATATCATGATGAAAAACTGATTATTTTTTTCAAAAAGATTAAAGTTAATTATCTCTTAATCGGGGTTTTTTTTATTAGGAAATACCTAATTGGATACTCCATGATGACACAATGGTTTGTCAAAAGTGAATAAAAAGAATGCTATAAGGAACTAGGCAATTTAGGGACTTAAATTTGACAAGAAAGAACAGCAGGAATAAAAATGGTACCATGAAAGTCCCCCCACATGAATCTTTCCAACAGATGAAGCTTTTTGAAAGCCCTTTCAAAAGCAGAATAAAAACTAAAGAAGAGACAATAAACTAAAGAAAAACTCGAAGTGGGCCATTACCTGTACTTTGATGTCCCGAATCCAACAAAACCTTCACAGGAAACACCTTGAACGCTTTTTTTATGCTTAAAAGTAGCGATTAACACCTTAAAGCATATCTAGTTTTTTTTTTTTTTTTTTTTTGGGGGGGGGGGTGGGTGTGGTACATAATACATGGTACTGGCTAGCATTATAATTTTGCTCCAAATGAATTAAGCACCCCAAACTACAGAGCAAGGTCGTCCTATAGAAGCAATAGGCTAGAACAGTCATCTGTGCCCTACAGAATTGAGAGCCAATGGGAGTAAAGCAGGCAAAGTTAGCTATATTAATCCTGATGAATGCCTGCAAATGCGGCTCTTTGGTAATTTACACGAAATTGAAGTGAAAAGGAGCTCAGGAAATGTTCCTAATTATTCCCTGGTAGGGCCGATTAGCCACTCGATGATTTAGCATCCAATTACTTGAATCCAAACAACAGAAAGCGAAGGGCGATATGACACCACTAGGCGTGGTAGGGGCAAAGCTAGGCTGTTGAGGCGTTTCAGTTGTATTTTCCTGAATGATTTAAAATTGTTTTTGTGCAAAGCATGGTGGGAGAGGAAGGAAACGAAGGAGCACACATGGGGGGAGGGGAGCCATAATGTCTTGCTAAAACATGTGGGGGCATATAGCCTAAAACTTCAAGAAGATGCCGTACAGGACCAAACAGTTCTAACTTCTAAACAAATTTTCAAATTGGGATGTGGCTACACACATTAACGTATAGGATTCTTTGTACGATTCAGCTGGCAGGCCAAATATTGTCTGAGGTTTTCCCCAATTGGCCGTTCTAGTGGTTAAACATCATGGAAAAATTCTCGGTTACCATCATATGTTAGGCCAAATTATCTAAAGAATTAATCGCAATTGCACTGCCTGATCGCAAGACTTGAGATTCCTTGTCCTAATCCATGGCCTTGAAATTAATTACAGAGATACAGATTCATGGACTTGCGACTGTAGGCTTGGAGAAATCAAGTCAAAAGGGATCAGGAAAAGTTAGGAACCCCAATTTGATTCAGCAAAGATATTGCTGAAGATATAACACTTGAATGGCTTTTTTAATGAAAGTTACTCGATAAAAAGGGAATGCACGTCAATCAAACCTGGATTATGGGAGACACTGTGATCATCAAAAACCCTCGATGAGGGGTGAAGGATGCGAGTATGTCCATGCGCACGCCAGTGGCAGACAATCTTTCTTATCAATGAGCCAACAGTGTTTTGAAACGTGTCGCTATACAGCGACATAGTATGCCAAGTACAGCAAATGATTTATTTCTTTTCATAACCCAATTGGGTGGATAAAAGCTCGTATGTCATGCTTTGTTTGTCCCTAACCAATCCCGTAAGACCCAATTTTCCTTTTCTTTTTTTTTTAAAAGAAAAAGACCTCATTTAATCTCCTATGGAATCAGCCTACACCTGATTAGACATTTCAACTGGAGGAAAGAAAATGCTCAATCAGAAATTTTTTTAAAACAAAAATTATTGTCCTTACATTTCGATTCATTGACAGAAACCTGGCCATCTAAATGTCACCCACAATTAAACCTAAAAATAGCAAAGAAGGATAGGTATTAAGGTTACATCAATGTCAAATTTTGCACCATTATGTAGTATGACTTTGTCACTCAATCCTAATTTTTTGAGTACTCACAATATATGATGTTAAATGCACCGAAAATATTAGCACCAAAAAAAAAAGCACAGAAAATAGCATATCTATCAGCCTTCTATAACTAATTGCTAGTTTGGTTGATAGAAATTCTTTCAAGTCTTGTAGCTTAAGAGCCTTTAAGGTGCTTGATTTGAAACCTGCCCTCCGCCTATGCTACAAGAACAAGAACCCAGGTTAGGATTGCAAAAGACAAAAAGGCTGGAGATTTAGTAATATATCAGGTGAAGAATTCCCAGAGTCTTCTCTCTATGAAAGTATGGCATCAAAGTCATTACCTACTGAAGTTTCCTATAATATATAGTGTGTTTAGGACGAAGAAACAAGCTCATTTTTTTGTAGAAAAAGGAAATCTAGGGGATGATAACTACCGCAAAATATCTAGCTTTCTCAAAAGATTTGGTTGCTTTGTCCTAGCTGAATGACTTGTTTTTTCTAGGTTCCTTGAATCAGAAAAGACCTTCCATTGGAAAGGAATGGTGGCAGGGAAGATTTCGTGCATTGATGCTACGGGGGCCTAACCTATTTCCATCGAGCTTTAGCTGTATACATCACCATAGATACAAAGAAATTAATCTAATTAAGATTACGATTTACGAAAGAAGCCAACCTACTAGTTTGACAGGTAAAAATTGCTTCATGTACATGACAAAACCTAGTCCGCTGATTGCTCTGAAACCTGGACATTGCATCAAAATAGAGCTTTCCTATTCATGCCTCCTTCTCCATGCCTAGTCATATAAGCTAACATGACCTATTTGGTCCAAACAAAGACGTATAACCGCTATTGTCCTCTTAGAAATGGACTAATTTTCCTCATAATTAGTGCAATGGTCAACTTTAATTAGGTGAAGTTTTCCCCCTGCTAGCTGTTTGATTAGGGTACCGAAGTGTTACTAATATTGCTCTAGCTAGAACTAGAGAAGTCAAATCATACTCATAACTGTTTCTGCACAGTGAAGAACGGAAAATGTGAGCAGAAATGATCCTATACTTCTACTTCTTTTTTAAACAAGCAATCCATGTAATTCAAGAGAAAAAAATGACATTAGATAAGATATCGCCTAATGACGACACAAGTTCCTTTGTGATTTGTACGAGTTTGGATCAATGGTTGAATCATTATGCACGCCAACAAATAAGGAGCGTGCAGAAAATTTTGGCATATAAAGGAGGCAGGAGGGACAAGCTTAATCTAATATCTTGCCTACAGACAACGACCCTAATCCCCCGTCTTTCTCGGGCTCTTTTCTTCAATGTTTCACCATCATGGATCCTCCTCAGGATCTGCTCCTGTAAAAAACTGTGCCTGACAAGAGAGTTTTCACAAGTTACAGTCTTTCTAGCACTGTACACAAATAGTAATTACCCCTAGAAAAATTTGCACGGCCAGAGGTATTTTTATTGACGTGATTACCTGAATCTTTCAGTAACAAATTGTTACCATAGCAGCAAAATTCTGCACAACAATCATACTTTCACTTTTCAGGTATAACCCACTCAACTGGCCAATACCCTTGAAAAAAGAATGCACTAAAGGTGGATGATCAAACCAGTCATACAGCTATAAATAAAGGGCATTTACTTTAATATCACACACAAATTTAGAGTCTCTCCTTCTAAATTACAATGGCAGAGAACTCAATCTCTAACAAGTCATCTTCAGCTGATATGGCACCAGATAAACAATCGGACCAGAAACCCTCTTCATCACTGAAGCTATTTGGTTTTTCACTAACTGAGCAAGACGAAATTTTAGAGAAAGCTGAAGATTTTGGAGAAAGTAGGAAATTCGAGTGTCCATTTTGCCACCGAGTATTTGCCAACTCTCAAGCACTAGGAGGCCATCAAAATGCACACAAGAGAGAGCGTCAAAGAGCTAGGCGAGCCCATTTTCACAGCCATCAACGGTTCATAGCAGCTGCGCCTGTTTTAAGCTCTCACGCTGTAAGGTCGATGCCGCCCTCGTTTCCTAGAGGGTTCAGTAGCAACAGTGCTGGTAAATTGGTGTCACAACCAGGTTATTATCCATCACAGCCACTGCTGCTTCCTCCAACTCCTTCTCAGTATACTCCTCGAATTTACATAGCGCGGCCACTGCATTTTGGCACAGCAGGCCCAGGATTTGCTGAATTTTCTGGTAAATTGCCAGAGGCGGACATAGGCATTGATCTTCATCTTAAACTTTCTCCTTCAGGTTCTTAGATACATATAACCCCTATATATATGTACCATGGAGTTTATTAAATCCCCTCTCTTTTGTATTTTACTGTTTCAGTTTAAATTGGTCGTGAAACGTGTTATCTTTTGTTGAAACATCTTCCAATGTATTGAAGAGTTTGATCTTCCAGGCAATTTATAGTCTTCAAGCATTACAATGGTTTCTGTCTTATGCCAGAGTTTCTGTGATATTGTTGAAATTGTAAAACATTTGGGGATTAGTAATAATTAAATAAAACAACTTTCTGCAGATAGCAGACATTGAGAATGTTATGTGGGACAAGATGGAAGCAACATTACAAGAAAGAAAATAACCCAAGTTCACAAAGGGGCATTTTGCATATCAGGCATCCAAGACCAAGACCCGCAGGCTCGTTTTGCTACATGTGCTTCCACGATCACTCCATTGTACAAATCCATCGAAACAGTAGCATCAGTTCTTCTACTTTTTAATTATGTGATGGCCATTCTTATGATACCGCAGGGCATGCATTTTCAATTATTTATATATATATATATGAACTAGTTGAATAATACTGAAACTTGCTTTTACTTTGTTTAATGCTTCGATAAATCATTATTTTACTAATTACATATCGTACATTAGATATATAGTAGACATACATATACATAAAAAAAAATGTTATATGTTTATGTATATGTAAACCAACAGGGAAAAAGGCAGAAAACAAAAATTGGTGTGCAGAAACATGATCCCAGTGAAATTTTGGGCTAGCCCCTGCTTTAATTTCTGTTGTTATTGTTTAAATTTAAACATTATTATATCAAGATTAGTAAATTATTTTAAAAACTCCTATATATATAATGTTGTTATATTAATATGTAGACACAAAGCATACGAGATTAATGCCTTCGTATTAGTAATTGTGAAATTAAAGTTGTTCCAATACTCAACTACCAAAACGCATTAACGTTGGTCAGCCAATGAGTCAAAATTGATTATTTTAATTATCTGAATAGTCATAGACAGTGGTGTATTTAGAATTTTATTTAGCATGTTCAATTATATAATAACATTTTATTAAAAAATTATCGATTTTATTTATTAATTTTATTAATTAAAAATATTTAAAATTTTTTTAAACATTTAAAAATTTAAAAATTTTTAATTTTTTTAAAGATTTTCATAAAAGTATTAGACGTGGATCCACTTGTTTATAAGAAAAAGAAAAATTGAAAGAAAAAATGTCTATTATATTTGATAACAAAAAATAAAAATAAAAATAAAATTGTAGATAAAACTATTTTAAAATACAAATACAGATGTGGAACGTGTCTCACGTTTATAGATGAAAAGATTGCCTTTCTTTTGAAATTAAAAAAAAAAAAGGATTTTCTTACCGTTAGGGCAAGAATTTTAACAAAAAATAAATCGTCGAAAAGTTAATAACACCAACAAGCAAGGCATCATCGCGCTTTTGGCCTCTTTCAGACTTCTTTTTCTTTTTTTCATCAATTCCCTTACAAACAAGGTTGTCCTAAACTTTCCTAATTATTTTATTTTAATTTAATTGTTTTTTAAATAATTTATTAATTATTAAAGTAAGTATTAGTACGCAACATTTCCGAAGCACATCACATTGTGAGGAAAGAAGAAAGAGAAGAAGGCAAGGTTTTCAATCTTCATTCAACCAAAGATCGGCAAGCCCGAGGTTGTATTTCAATTCGACACATTTCTATTAAAACCATAAATTTTTTTCCTTTAATCAAAAAAAACGAATTTCGAAAAGGAATCATCCGTTAGAGAAACCACGTCATAATTAAAACTCAGAAATTTTTTTCCCGAACAGAAAAAAAGGTAGAAAATGTTTAAAAAGTTTTTTCATTTTCTTTTCACCGTATAACCTCGAGTTCCCAAACCTTAACGCCACTCATTTTCCATTTCCGTAAGGCAAAACCCTAAAAAAATTTCCTTTCTCTTGTTGTCTCGATGGAGAGTTACGGGTCGGGTCAAAGGCCGTACGGGGTGGATCGTCGGATGGAGATAGTAAGCGGGAAGAGTTCGAGCGTTGGACCCAATCAGATTTTCTCGACTCGTTCCCGCTCCCCCGATTTACCACCCGCTCCGATTCGGACGGCTCGTCCGATTCAAGGGACATCGAAGCCGTGGGGTTTCACGGATCCCGAGATGAAGAGGAAGAAGAGGATAGCGAAATACAAGGTTTACACGGTGGAAGGAAAAGTGAAGGCTTCTTTGAGGAAAGGGTTCCGTTGGATCAAGAACAAGTGCTCGCAGATCGTCCATGGATACTAAAGGGGACTATATTTGCGGCTCAGGTTGTGTACATGTCGGACGGAGGATGGGAACCAGTGGTGCAGTGGCAAGATCTTGATGAAATTGATAGTTTTGACATTTTGGTGCTGAGAAAAGCTGTGGGTAAGTAAGATATACCAATAAGACGCAACCCAAGATATAAATTTCACCAATTTTTTCAGAAAATAAAAGATTATTTTTTTCTTTTGCTTTATTCTTACCAAACCATTGGAAAACAAGATTTAATTTATGAACGGGATAGCTGTTTAAAATTTAAATGTCAAATGACTCTGTTTTATTTTATTTTTTTTGTTTTTTATGTCTGGATTATTAGATTTATTGTAACTTCATTATTCCAATTAATGATGTGAAAGGTCCTTTGCCTTGCTTAAGTTTCAAGTCTTTGACCCTCTGCGCTTAATTTCTTAAAGATTGATGAACTTTTTTTTTTCTGGTCCACCATTCAGTCATTCACTAACAACAATATGTAAGGGTGGTGAAGTTGGTACTTGGTAGTGCAGCATCAGTGAGGTTGCATTAGATGAACTGAGATTAAAATGAATGCAAGAGGAAGAGGAATATCGCTTTTTTTTTTCAAAAAAAAAGGAAGAAAGAAATGTTGCTAAATAAAAGAAGTAAGAGGTGGTTCAGTATCTATGTCAGTCCGAAGGCTGTTGAGTTGGGTGGAGCCAATTTTTGCAATTATGCAGCCTTTGGTAAAGGAGAACTTGTAGAAATTAACTTCAGCGATATAGATGGTCTTGCTTTAACCCAACGTTCTCGGGCATGGCCCTGCAATAACCTGAACATTTTAGGTCCAAATCCAATATTTAGAACTCGATGGTTACGAGTTAGGATTTGTGAGGGTCGTTGATGGGCATTTTTTGTGTTGACAACAGAAAAATAATGTACATAAACCATGGGAAATGTTTGGTAATGAAGTGGCTAAAAGATGATCATCTTTTCATGCAAGAAAAAGAAGGGTCTTTGAAATAGGAACATAAATCTGCTTTACTATCAATCCTAACCGTCTCACGGTCCGATGTTTTAAACTTTAGGAATGGCCTAATTAAGTGTTTAATATTGTAAAAGACTTTCGTTTTTAGACAAACAACATAAAAAAAAAAAAAAAAAACCTTGTCTTGCGCTGCGAGTCGGTATTACTAATTCACACTATAACTCCAGAGTCCAGACATTTGTACAATGTGAAGTCGTGAATACAAAATAAAAAGAAAATTCCGTTTAATTTGACAATATCCTAATTTCAATGATGTTAATTAGAAATATTGTGAATGAATTTAGGACTATTGAGCTTAGCTAAATGTGTGTGTGTACATATATATGAAGTAATCAACTTACACAAGTGTAGAATTTTGTACTTTTACAATTTTTTTAATCATTAATTTTAATAAATTTAAAGGATGAGATTATATATATATATATATATATATATGCTACAAAGATAAATTCATGTCATTTATAAATCATAGTATCCAAATCATGCAATTAATACTTGAATAAAAACAAAATTACACCTCTTTTTATTTACTACACCTACTATTCACCTCGCACCTGTATGTTTCCCCTAGCCCCGATCCTGCTTTTCCTTTGGAACCACAAAGATAAATCTAAAAAGAAAACTAAAAGAAAGAAAACAAACACATCCCTAAAGATACAACGTGCATGCATGCAAATCAATGCCGTCCGTAGGTTATTGATCACTGATTTCCGCTATTGTTAATGATTCATCAATTCAAGTTTTGAAGCCTCATTTGTTCGTAGAAATGAGCTATGAATTCTTCAGCCTTGGCATCAATCATCTCGTCGCCACCATCATCATCGTACCCGCATTCCTCTTCGGTGGTCTCTTTGCAAGGTTTCATAACATGAATCTCTTGAAGATTAAAAGGTGACTCGTATTGGCTCATGTCACTCACGGAACCGTAAGAGGAAATGGAAAAGGCTGAGGATTGTGACGAGACGTACGCCACTGGAGACAATGGTGGCGTAATAGCTTCCTCCGTTTGTTCTCCAACGGGTAAAGACTCAGGCTCAGGCATGATTGAAGCTTTGCCCTCGATGTCCGGGGGTGGGGATTGGTCGCTTTGTAAATGCATTGGGCGCATTGACCCTATAAGATCCTCCCAGGAGAACTTTGAAGCCAGATTAACCTGAATGGATTTTGATTTTGATTTGCTCGATTTCAGACGCAACATGCAAAGCGCCACCTTGAGCAGGTGCATTACGGCGGAGCGTTTTCTTTTCTTCAGCATGGGCAAGCCATTTTGATCATCGGGAGCAATGTTTTTGTCCCTGGAGATCGATGTCTCTGATATTCCTTCCATCGAAAAAAGAGACAAAGAAAGGCCCCTGATGTATAAATTAGCTATTGTATTTTTCAGAGGAGCAACCCCTGCTCCAAGCGCAGGGAGAAGCTAAATAAGCCTTGCCGAATGAAATGACAGAAACAATGAATTTATATATTGTGAAGTTCGATGAGTCGTACCCCTCCCTCCCATTTTTTTCAAAACGATCGTATGTCTATGTATTTACTAAGAAAATTAATTGTGGTAAAAACCAAAAAAGAACAGAAATTTCTTGAAATGACAGAAATAATACTCAACTAAAATAGTAATTATTTAGTAACTAAATGCAAGCTTTTGCATCAAAGAACATCCAATCACAAGTAAAACCAGTATGTCGAGACAGCAAACTTCCCATTCTCAAAATAGAAAACTTCCCCTATTACTGTGCTAACAAGTAATAGTTACTGTCTTCAATTCCATTCTGTCAAATTTTGTGATGGGTACTTAATTCTAAATTAATCAATTAATTATTATGATTATGGGTGACGAAATTTCGTGTACGCATACACATACCCTAATTAATACATGATTTGTTTTCTCTACTGCAACTTAACATTAATTAATGTAAAAAACAACAAATAAAGATATCGAATTGTTATTATGTAATATATAGTCTTCAGATGGGGAGGTAAAACAAATCTATCACTTAGGAATCAACATACAAGGCTCAACTAACTTTGATTTATAGTTATACAAGTTAACATTAGTTGATCATAATAAAGAAAGATGGCTCTTTTAGTTTCTTACAATATCGAAAAACTTATGATGCTCAAAACTTAATCCAGGTATATCTTTTTTAAGCCAATGAGTACATTCAAATTAGCGAGGTTTACATGAATGAAATTAATTTTTTTTCATTGTAATAGGGTTTGATTAAATGGATGCCTATATCACTACTTAAGGATTCTTTAATTATTATTTTAAATTATATTCTTGTATTTAAGTATTATTTTTTTATCAAATTCAAAAAATGATACATTAATAATTACATTTTTCCTTACATTTTACCCTAACTAATGCCAGTAAATACTGATTAACATTTCCCTTATTAATTAATATACATCAAAGACCAATCCATTATTAACCCTTTTTTAAAAGGGTTTATGTCTACTATTGTTATAATCCATATATACTTAATTCCTCCGGTACTAATTTCTCAAATGTAACAAAAATATATATATTTTTATACTTAAAATTGTAAAAATTTAAATTCTTATCATTCAAATTAACAATCTAGCTTATGACAAACCACATGACTATTTATCAAAAACATTACTCCTATGTAATAATTACTTCAACAATTTAATATTAATCTATTTAATATAAAAAAAATGTGTGGAGGAAAGATTATGTAAATAAAAAAAAATTAAAATATACTAGAAGTAATTACTTAATGACCAGAGAACAAAACAAAAAAGGTTCAAAAGTACAAATTTTCAATGGAAGAAGAAAATAAGGAAAAAGATAATCAAACTTGACGAAACGTTAATTAACTTTCCATGTTAATCTATAAATGCATTATACGTTATGGTAAGATGTTTATCATTAATTTAATCAATAATTAGCTTATGCTTTGGATGCAATTCTAGCTAGCTAGCTATATGTGAAGAAGCAAATAGTTATAGCTAGGACCATGCACATTCACAAGTTACAAGTTAGAAGCGTAGAAGGGACAACGTGAGAGCGTTTTTTGAGGCATAGTAACCGGTAGGGCTTTTTGTTTCTTGCAGCAGAAATTAATCTGACGGCTCGCATTTGTTTGATTGCCCAATTTTTCTATAATTAGCTTGAATCTGTCATTTGTCCCATTCAATGTCCCAACAGCTTGCAATTTATCATAGAAAAATCAAACCAAACCAAACCCAAACCATCCTTAAATCGCTGGAGAATGACCCCAAAACATGCGTCCATGAATCCAGCATCACCCCGATATTGCCAAGGGAGTGTGGGATCCGCCAAGTTTTTAATTTCCCCATGATTTCTACTGGGTCTCACAGTGATGTCTTATAATTAATATACTTACAAAATAATCAAATCATCTAATCATTGACAATTTTTCACAGGATTGCAGATCCGTATATGTTTATTAAGCGTGTTTTATTATTATTATTACCTTTATTATTATTTGTCTCTTAATTCTTTCAAGCAATCGTGTTATGATAATTTCCCTTCATTTTCCTGAGAAAAGGATTGGATTTTTTTAAATAGATTAGAGAAAATGATATCAGGTTAATTAATTATAATTTAGTTAGTACCAAAGAAGATGTATTAAATCATTTGCTTTGTAACTAATAAAACTTTCTCTCTCTCTCTCTCTCTTTTTAAATAATAATAAAACTTAATTTCTTTATTTACAGTTAGAACGTGAATCTACCAAATTATAACTTTGGTTGGGTCCCCTTGTATGATCTATTTCTAAATTCTACTACATGCTTTATTTTCTCAACCATATAAAAATGAATTAATATATATATATATATACATACATATACATATAATATAATTAAAAGAATTTTAATTTTACAAAAAAAAAGAGATTTAATTGCAGTTCAAAATTAGAAAATATACAAGCTATTACCTATGAGGCATCTTGCAGCGCAAGACGTGGTGACATGAGGAAAAAAAAATCTTTATTGAAAATGATTTTCTCATGAGAAATTAAATAAGAAATTGATGATTGAATGTGATATTTAACAAATGTGTTGTGTTAAGCACTAGAAAAATGTTGGTGTATTGCATCATTATTAACTAAAAAATCCCAAGTAACCAACAGCTAGCACCAATTGATCAATGATGGCTATGTAATTGGGTCTATGTAATCCTACTTTAGCCAATTATTGATAGATGCTACCCTTGCTAGCCCTCTAATTAAATTCAACATGACATTTTATTACGACTTTTTAACTCATCCTCAATTCCTCATCATTTTTCAAGTTTCATCCATATTTCACACTCACATTTTCACCAATAAGGCATAGGGAGATCATTTAGATGCTCAATTGCCCGTCTAACTTAAAGAGTTAAAAAAAAAAAAAAAACAATTCACCCCAACTTATTGCTCTTTGATTTGGGAAAAGAGTGATTCAACCTTTATAATTTAAACAAAAAGGATCATGTATTCATTATTCAATCAAATATTCGGATGAAATTTAATAAATTTCACATTTTAGTTTAAATCCCAAGTCAACTACTATATTATCAAGCCGAAATCAAAATTCCACTCCCATAATTAAATTGTAAAAAGGAGGGGAAGTAGCAGGTTATTTCTAGGTTAATTAGTATATCAATTGTGTGAAATCAAAATATAAAATAAAAAACGTGTTGGTAGCGGTGAATTATGGAAGCCGCCAAATTGTCAACTTATACTAGAAATTTTCGTAGTTGTCATTTAATAGGTTAATAAGAGCTCAAATTCAATGAATCTTCGTGTTGCTATATTGAAAACGATTTCAGCTAGTTTTACATATAGATTGATGAAATGAGAAAAGAACAAAGGAGTAGTTGCCAGCTGGTTACTTAAGTCAATTAATGCCGTTAACTTGTTCGGGTAAGCTGTACCCTGTTTGTTTAATTTCTTCTTTGTTACAGTACCTAATTTGCACTCCAAAGTTCAGTTTGAAATATTATAGGAACTTTCCTTCTTCAAATCAGTGCACTTCTGTCATTCAACGGTTTTGATATTTGACAAGTTGTAAAGTGGGACCGAACAGTTTGGAACAGGTGGCACTGCCATTTAACAAATTACCCCATTGGTTTTTTTTTTTTTTCGTCGTTGGCCAATGTCTCTCCTTTTAGGTGGCTCCGACCCTTTTCTGGTCAACTGTAGCGAGAAATTGAAGCCATTTATCACCAACAAACTACAACTTCCGGGAGTTTTCAAAACCAACTTTTTCTGCAACCTTTACAACAAGTTTCGGATGACGACAATTTTCAGCTTCCTTAAATCTTAGTGTTTTAAATTAAACTATCAAGAAATTAAACACACAATTTACTGCCCTTTAGGGGTAGTTAGCTGCCATCTTAAACTACATCAAAATTGAATTTTGATAACTAAAATTAAAATATCAACACGCTAACAATATATCTCACACCCGTGGACATTTATAATTTTGTTTGCATTTGCCAGTTAGACGGGGATTTTAAGTTATGATTCATTACTGATTCTGAATTAGAGTGCCAAATTAAGAAGAAAGCAAGTCGCCAACGATTAACCTGTGCAAATGCAGTTGGTCTTTTTAAGCTAAATAGGCCGAAACTAGATACCAAATTTTGAAACAAAGGATCATGAATGTGAGTGGCATCCAAGTACCATTAAAGTACCAAATTGGCTTTTCTCTTGCGTTCAGCAATTGATTCTTTGACCTCAGCTGGCCAATTTTTCAAATATTCTAAATTTTTTTAATTTTGAGGGAAAATTCTTCATAATTTTCTATTATATTATAGGAAGATTCTCACAATTTGATTAATTTACAATTATAAAATACTGTATATAATCATATGATTAGCACTACAGCTTCGAGTAACATTCAAACGTTTGTACTGTTAATAATACTGAAATAAGTTTAGATCTCTCTCGTTGAGCTTTGGATTCTTCTAATTTGTTTTTTTTTGGAAGTAAGCGTTTACCTAGCGAAAAGTCTTGGAACATTTTCTCAAGGATTTATTTCTTTTCTTAATCATAAAGCAAAAGCTGAACAGAAATGAATAAATAAAACACAACTAAAAGCGTGTCCTCATAACTACACCCAAAAGGAGGGCCTACTCTTAAATCATTTGCTTCACTCTTTTTCTTTTCTCTTTCTTTTTAAAGTTTCCCAACCAAAAAATTTGCCTCATTATTTAGTTTGACTATAATACCCTTTCACATTCTAGTAATTGCTAGTAGTACTAACATTAATTGTCAAATATCTTTTCATTTATTTACTTTTTATGTAATTACGAAATTAGAAAAACCTTTTCCTGTATATAATTTGAAATTTTAAATGTTTTTGATATAGTAAGATGAATTTTCGTTTCTTTAAATGGATTGGTTTAATTGCAAGTTGCAAATAAATTAAAAGAGCCGCAAATCTAATCTAATTTAATTAATTTTGTCCTGAAATTAAAATAAAAAAGGCATCAAAAAACTTTTTCTGCTTCTCCTAAATCATAATTAAAGTAATAAATAAAAGGAGACATGGTTAGATTTGGAAACAACATGGCGACAGCTAGGTTTTCTCGCGTACAACCGTGTTTCCCACGAGGCTCCACCGCCAATCGTTCACATTTCTGATCACCATACCAAGCAAAAAAGAACCCAATTCCATTTTTTCTCTCTCTCTCTCTTTCCGTGTAACAAAGGCTCGCATAAATTACATATAAATAGCCAACCTTCCCTTCTCTTCCCATGGCAACCTGATCAATATCTCAAAATCTCTCAATTGCAAACAAAGGTTTTAGCATTCAACAAAATCTTAGTATTTCAGTACCCAACAAAGCTTTGCCAGTTTTTTTCTCGTACCAAGTTTTCTGCTAAGTACTTTTTACTTAAAGATACATATATATATATATATATAGTTTGCTGCAAATGAAGCTGACGAAAATGCCGAAGAAGAACAGTGATGTTGCTCAAAGAGCATGGAGTCTCCTGCGTCTAGCATTGTTGTGGACAAGAAAAGGTGGGGTGTTCAAGAGAAGACTCATGATGGAGCTACGGTTGGTGCCTAAGTTCCTCAAGGGTCTTGGACATACAACGGCTCCTCGTGACCAACTCCATTATAAGGAACGCGAGCTTTCTTTCGATGAGACCCCAATTTTCCACGTCAAGATGCACCGTCCTGCTTCCATGCGGTTCCTTCTTCCTTGCATTAGCCCTGAGGAAGTAGATTTTGATTACGATTTCGGTATCGATGAATATAATAGAATTTACGGCTATGATAGTGGAAGGAAGAGTTACTCGACAAGCTCTGATGAGGAAGAAGACCAAGGAGAAGAGAAAGAGTGTGGATATGAGGGTTGTGATGAGAAGAGTCCATATCCATTAGAGGAAGAAGAGGGGATTGATTCAAAGGCAGAAAAGTTCATAGCTAAGTTTTATGAGCAAATGAAGTTACAAAGACAAGTCTCTTATTTGGAATACACTGAAATGCTTAACAGAGGCGCAAGTTGAATATTGTTCTCTTGACAAATTCGCATCCATTGAAGTTCAAACTTTTGCATATTCTACACCTTTGTTCTTTTTTTTTTTTTTTTTTTTTTTTGAGTTTGCGGGTTTTACAGAAAAGTTTTTGAAAGAGATGAACAGACACTGCGGTTTTTTGTTATTTTTGTAAATAACGAGGATTCGAGTGTTTACAATTTTATTAATAAGAAATAAAGATCTTCATATTTTGATTACAAAAATTTGAGAATCGATGCTTTCTTTTAGTTCTATTTATACAGTTAATTTGCATCTGCATAGAAAAAAAACAATGTACTAACTAAAAGTGAGAAAATTAATAACAAATACGGTCAAAAGCACAATAAAATCGCATACGCGGAAAAATATAAAATTATTCAGCCCACGGCCATGTGATCCGTAAAATACTAAATTTTTAATTTCAATCGTCAAATTTTAAATCATGACAATTTTAGTTTGACAACTAGCAAGTGGTTGAAAACTTTTAGTTCGACAAAAACAAAATTGATAACGCGAGGTAACTAAATTTCCTAAAGTAAAGACATGGTGAAGTGAAAGGCAGATAATCATCAAAACGGGGGGATCTCGCAGTTTCAAGTCTGAAGCACGAGTTCAACCGTAAAATCAAACATATATATCATTTACAAATCCATGAAGTAGTTCTCAGTGGTTAAAATCAATCATGTTCGTTGCCAGAATAACAGAACGGGAGATATTATTTCAACCAAAATATAAACTCCCCTTTCAGCATTTACAATATTGAGATTCAATTAATATTAATAATTTGTTAAAAACAATTAATATGGTAACTTTTTTTTTATTTAAACTAATTTATTAAAAAATTAAACATTCAATAAGGACTAAGTTGCTTCTTTTTAATATATGAAATCAAATAAACAATTAAATAAAAATTTAATATTTAATACATTATTAATGAACAAATTTATTATTCATACAGACCAATTATATGGAGTACTATTTATTGTTCAAAGTTAATATAGTAACTTTAAAGAGTGCCTAAGGTCACTCATAGGCAAAATTCCTTAATTTATTATTTTCTTTAAAAAATTGTTGAAAATAATGTATTAAATTAAAATTTAAAAAATTTAAAAAAAAAACTAAAACAATATTTTAACTGTATCTTAATTAATCAGTGTCTAACTAAAATACTCCAGCTACATTTGTGTTTCTTATATTAAATATTAAAATGTGAGACTATGGATTGGCAGGCTTGAGCTTTTTTTTGAAGATTCTGATCCAAATTAAGCCCAGATACAAACAGAACCATGATGTACCTTGGCCTTGGACTTTGGTTGGCTGTGAATAAATAAATCAAGTCCCAAGCCCTAACCTTTTTGAATTTCAAAACAGCAACAAAGACGTTAGGGAATACAGGGACGGAGGGAGATGGTGGGAAGCGAAAGCAAGTGTGGCTCTGTGTTTTCATGGGCAGATGAGGTAGAGAAAGAAGAAGCAGCTGCAGGAGCAGGAGGAGGCCAAGCTCAGGTGCAACAAAAGCAGAAGCCAAACCCTTTCGGCTCTGCGAGGCCCAGAGAAATTGTTCTCCACGAGAAAGGAATTGACTGGAGAAAACTTGACCTTCATCTACAACAACCCTCTCCTTACGGTACGCTATTTCACCTTCCTTTACAGATGCGATTTTGATTTGTTATTTTCTCAAACACATTAACCTATATTTGCAGGCATGAATCAGGTAATGAGAAGCTGCAGAAAAAAAAGCAACCCTCGTCAAACTAAAACAACTATTTTGAGCAGTAAACAAGAAGTGAGGTTCAAAGCAAGTTATCCAGTGTCTCCGCAGGTTATTTTGACTACCCAGGTTCAGAGTCCTAAATTGTTTGATCCTCCGCTGAGATATCCACCAAAATATGTTGCCGGCCTTCTCTACGACCCTGGGTTGTCTACCATTCCGAATGCGTTAGACTCTGGGTATCAACACATTAAAATTGAGAAAGAGAACAGATTTCAGGATGGAAGAAAATTCCATAACTTAAAGAGCGAGCCCGCAATGTGTGGAAACAGAAGCAGGACAACAACTGAGTTAGTTCAAGACAAGGAAGCACAACAAAAGGGCAGAAACAGATTTTTGGGAGAATCCGTAGTTTACGGAAACAAGCCAGAAGTGGATTCTGCCACAAGAAAGGAAGAGTTTCCTGGCAGGAATTCGCTTGGTTTGCCTCTGGTAAATCAAAATATCGGACCCACTGAAGAGCAAGATAAGAGGATGCCAGCTAACGCGAGGCAGCCTAGGAGCGTGCAAGACGATTTGGGCGTGGATGGAACTGCCTTTCAAGTTGCTGAAAACAAGGCTATGGAAGATAAATGGCAAAAGGTTACCAGAAAAGTCCAAGATCTATCTGTAAAGCAAGGAAAAAATGGTGGGACAGACACAGTTCATCGCAAGGTCAAGGGAAACAGGGCAGGTTTGGGAAGGAATAACAAGAAGAATTTTGAAAAGAAACAGACCAGGTTAAAGACTTAGAATTAGAACAATGTGCCTACTAAACAGAAGAGATGGTGACTGGTGAGTAAGGACAAATGGCTATGTCATGCTTAAAATTTGAATCGCCTAATTGTTTTCCGCCTTCTTTGTTTTTGGGAAAAAAAAATATTTTTCATGGTGTTTGCCACGCTTCTTATATATCTGTAAAACAAGAGAAAGCAACTAGTCACCCCAGAAAAAGATTAGAAATTTTAGAGAGATACAAAACTATATTGCCATAAAAAGATAAACAATCTTTAATTGCAAGTAATGTTGGCTTGATGAATCTAATTTTGTAGGCAAATTTCACCAGGATAATCAAAATCATCACCACTAAGTTTAAACAAACCTGTGCTTCAATTTAAGTGAGTTGCAAAATGAGATTAAGAACAATTTTGTGGAAGAAATGAAGATCTCAATGCGTAAATTAGAATGATAAATGGAGAAGAAAGACTTGTTACAACAGTCACCGATTTACAACTGTATGAAAACTTTTGGAGAGCCAACCAAAATTCAGTCTTGTTATGAGTTTAAAGAACTCCGCACGACTTTCATTGCCTATCCAAACTCTCATATTACCAATAAATAACTCTTGTTAAATAGGGACTTATTGCCTACTAAAGTTGTTCTACGGGATAATAAAAAAGCGGCAAGTGCAGAAGTCGTCCCAATTAAGAGAGAAATAAATGTCACATGTTACAACACAAGCTACACTCTAGTGATAGCTCACTCCTTCTCCAGTCACAACTTCACCGATCTTGTAGGCTGTGTAAGCACCATTTGCATCTTCAAGTATGCTATGAGATGCTTCCTGACTCACAATGAGAACCATGCCAATGCCCATGTTAAAAGTCCGCCTCATCTCAGCATCCTCAATATTTCCAGCCTAAGTACATGGCAATCAAATAAAAATAAGCAAATACTATTTAACAAGGTCAAAGTAATTGAGACGAAAATTGAAAAGATGACTATAAACAAAAGACAGAATAAGATGAGATACTGTAGAAAAAAGTCTCCATTACATGAGATACAAACTACAACATTTATGTTTCCAATATCATACTTAGGTAACAGGAGATGTAAAAGCAAGGAAAACAATTAAATCCCTATATAGATTTAAGAAGATGCCATAAGAATAAGTTCTACCTGTTGTATCCATTTGAACACGGCCGGAACTTCCCAAGAATCCTTATAGATGACAGAACCAAGGCCTTTTGGAAACGCTCGAGGTATATTGTCTGTAAAACCACCACCCGTGATGTGTGCTATCCCCTTCACCCCTCCCTTGCTAATTAAATCTAGCACCTGTTGACAAGAAAAAAAGGATTTAGCTTGCCAATTCTGCAAGACAAGATAAGACCAAACTCATAATGTCAAAGAAAGGTTGACTATAACCTGCTTAACATATATGAAAGTTGGCGCCATCAATGCTTCACCTAATGTAACTGCTGCACCAGGAAGTTGATCCTTTAAAGAAAGGCCACTTCGAGCCAAAACCCTGCAAAGATTATAAGTACATGAAAAAGATTTCATATATAAGAAACAAGAATGCTTTTTTTGTTTAAAAATAAAGGAAAAGATTCAACCATATCTCTCACAATACCACTGAAGATAATTACAAATAGGACATTCCTTTAGAAAAGTAACTAACCTTCTTACAAGAGAAAAACCATTTGAATGGACTCCACTAGAAGGTAGGCCAATCAGTACATCCCCAGCCACAATGTTTTTCCCATCAATAACTGAATCCTTTTTAACAATGCCTACTGCAAAGCCACTAAGATCATATTCCCCCTTCACATAAAAATCTGGCATCTCCGCAGTCTGAAAGGCATTAAAATCCATTGAGTTTGACCTAGGAAATTAAAATGTTTAGTTCAATTTTAACAATATATACAACTTGAAAGGGCTTCAAAATTGTACAGCGAAATGCATTCTGCAGATACGATCTTCAACACAAGGCAAGTTATTTAATGAAATCAGTCGTGCAGGGTTAAGCAAATCAACCATTTGTAGTTTAAGTCATTTCCATGAATACTATTCACCAGTGTCAGCTTCATAAACAATAATTGCTTTATCTGAGACACAAGATAGTTGTAAGTTGTTACCAGACCTTATGATTACACAGCTAGTAACAGTTCTTCATATGAATATTCCCTAATTATCTCCTTCCATGAACTTATAAATTTTCTAATTTCAACAGGAAATCATCCATCCCACCGTTAGATAATACATATGAATTAAAAATTAGATTATATACCTCTCCACCCAACAGAGTACAGTCAGATTGTTGACAACCATCTACAATGCCTTTTATAACCTAAAGAACAAGAAAAATAAAAAGGAACATTACTATTGACATTTAGCCACTGAAATTTTATCCATATTCAAAGTAACTGAAGAACACAACAATTTGAACCTTTTCAGCAAGGTCAACATCAAGGTGACTCGTTGCAAAATAATCAAGGAAGAATAATGGTTTTGCTCCAGAAGTAACAATGTCATTGACACTCATTGCAACCTGAAGTATAAGTTTATCAGGATGATAATATTAATATATTGAGAAAATGCAAATAATAAGGTTTGTTCCAAAGTTTACAAGATCAATCCCAATAGTTTCGTGGATTCCAGTCTCAAATGCTAGCTTGAGTTTGGTTCCCACACCATCAGTACCAGCAACAAGGTAAGAATCGCCTGTCCATGCAAACATAAGTTTATCAATAATTTAAACGAACCAAAAAACTGGATTTTCTAAAAGGAACAAGAGATGCAGATAGGTTCTATAAGCATTTACTATTAGCAGTATTTTCAATGTGCATTTTCTACATAATGAGGAAAACTAAGAAAAGTGAATTATACTAAAAAGATCCTGAATAGAATTCTTATGCTTGATAATTCACTAAGACCATCACATGGGTAATTAAGAATTAGATTAAGCTGCTTCATCCATAACCTGAGAAAACTATAAAAAGTTACAAAAATTAAAATCTTGAAGATTGAAGCGGCAAAAGGGCAGTCCATTGTAAAAAAAAAAAGAGAGCCAACCAATAGGCTAAAGCTTAACAATTTCCCATTTTCAACCAATAAGAAAGATATTCTTATCCTCCCAAAGAAATAATAAACTGTATCAATTCATAAACCAAAAAAAGAAAACCCCGACAGTGCTTCAAAATAATTAAATTGCCTGCCACATTCATGTAAAAGGACTCATTTTTCATGGCAAAGAAAAAGATGTTAAAAAAAATGCTACCTAGAGGGTAAAGGCCGCCGAAACCACCAATTCCAGGTGCCATCTTGGCGATTCTTCGAACAAGCTCAGACCCAGCATCTATGTCAACACCAGCATCCTTATACGTCAGCCCACCTAACCCATCGGAGTAATTCGACATCGCAATTATGCGGCTACTAGAAATGCTAGGTCTGCGTTGCGGAGATAAAGAAAGCAGTGGATACCCTTGGGAGAAGAAGCGGTAGGGGCGCATCCCATAAGGAGGTTGAGTAGCGGTGACGGGTTTATCGAAAGTGGGTCTGGAAGAAGCCGCAAAGCAATGAGATAGTTCGGCGTTTGCAGCTGCCAAAGTGTTAGTCATGGCAATGGGTAGCAGAGAATCAAAGCGGCGTTGGAGAAGAATCGGTAATTTACACAAAAGCTGCAATCAAGTGATAAACTGAGTATGGGTTTTACTTTAACGCTTTGTAGGGCTTAGGCTTCTATTTTGGTATTTTTTTGGCTGGGGTGATGGGATGGAGGTGGACAGAGAGGACACTACATTTGCCCTCCCTTTCCTTTTCTTTTCTTTTTTTTTTTGGGGGTAAACACTTTTCTTAATGGATTTTGGGTGAATCGAATAAAGATTTTCAAGGCCCAATTTGTGATTCGCACGAGAGTTCAAAATGGCATAGTATTAGGCCCATTCACTTAACCAAAATTTAGCAGACCCGTCCTACCAAAGCAAGTTCATACTTTAAAATTTTCCAGTTTTCATATAATAATAATAATCGTCCAAAGATAAGGTGGAAATTTATCACTTTACTTAAGTGAATGGTTCAAATTTGTTATTATTTTTTAATTGATGCAACTTTATCACTAATTTTAACTTTAGAATCATTTGTCACGGTGTTTTTTTTTTTTTTAAAGCAAATTTTACCAAAATATGACCGTTGATAAATATTGTAAAATATTTCAAAAACTATTTTATAATTAAAAAATCTTAAATTTGATATGACATGAAAAGAAATGGCAAGATCAACCGAAAAAGTGTAATGTAATATTGTGTATAAAAGAAAATAAGAAGATGAAAGAAGAAAAATAAAATAAAAATTTGGATTTTATGGTATTATAGTTAATAAAAAATGCAATAATAAATGAACAAAATAAATAAAAGAAAAAGAAAATTTCTGATTTTAGCTTCATCTTTTTGCCTTATCTTTTTTAGAATTATTTTTAAAACCGTAAAATCGTTTCTAAAAAAAAATTATGTACTAAATATTCTTTAATTACAGAAAATTTAAAAATAGGATAACAAATTTGCTTTAAAGTAAAAAAAAATGATATAAAAATTACGCCAATTAAAATTTTCAAAGCATTGTTGTTAAAAGTAATTTTTGTGTTCAAATGATAATTTTAACTCAATCTCAATACTAAACAATAAGAAAAATGTAGGTTTTTAATTTAAAGTTTGATTTTCAAACCCAAATCAAAAAAATATTGGAGAAATGTTTTTGTGTGTTTTGAATTAAATGTGTAAATGATACTTTAATACTCACAAATTATTCGAATTCGATTTGAATAAAATTTAAATTTTGTTCAATTATTATCAAATCAAGTCTAAAGTCGAATAATTTGATTCATCGATTAAGTTGAACTTGAATATTGTTATACCTGGCTAGAGTTGTTTACAAGTTTAATCAAGTTTTTATATTTTAATTAATAAAATATTTTGAACTCGAGTTTGAATACAAATAATTAAATTTTTATCAAATATAATAATTGAATTTATTTTTACATATTAATCGAGTCTAATTGAATAAGTTTGAGTTATATATTGAGTCAAATTCGAGCTAAAAAAATAAAATTTAATTGAGTTTGAGTCAAATTTTGAGTCTCAAATTTGAAGTGATCTCAAGCTTGAACTTAATACTATATCAACAAAAAATCATTAGATTATACCCTCATTTGAAATACAAATTTTTATTTATACATATATTTTTTAAAGATTTCGATTACTAATTTTTTTCTTAATAATATCAAACACTTAAAAATTTTAACTACACTTTTTTATCATATTTTAATTTTTTTTAATTTAAAAATTTCCAATCAAAATATAAAACTAGCCTTAAAGATGTTGTTTGATATAGATAGGATAATCACTTTAAAAATTATGATTATTTATATATCATGATTAGATTATTGTGTTTGATAAACAATTAATGATTATATATAATGATGATTTTGGATCATTAAAAGTGATCACATCATTTTTTTTATGATAATTTAACTTTAAAAAAAAATTATTATTGATGTAAAGTGATATATAAATTTTAAAAATAGTGAATATTATTAATTTAATATATAAATTAGAAATTACTTTTTTTCAAAATTATGATTATTTTATATTATAAGTTTTGTATATTTTTAAATTAACATTTATTATAATAAGTTTAAAAATAATTTATGTATTTTTTTAATTTTGTATATATAATATAATAGTTTTAATTTTCTTTTATTATGATTTTAATGTATCACTTTTATTTTCTAATTAAATATTGTTTACATAATTTATATTACAAAAATTAGTTTACTTATTAATAAATATTTTTTTAATTTGTTAATTTAATTATATTTGTATGAAATAAATAAATATTATTAATATTATAAAATTATTATCCTCAAAGAATATTAAAATTTTTAATTTATATAACTATTACGAAATTATTATTTTAATATTTTAAAATAATACAACATTTAATTTTTAAAAATAATAAATATAATAATTTTTAATTATAAAAATTAATGATTATTAATTAAATAAATAATTTTATATTATAAGTGATAATTAAATAAAATAAGTTTATATTATAAGTGATAAAACAATCTTAGTAATAAGATTACTTTAATAATTAAATTATTATAATATTAAAAATATAGCAAATGCAACCTTAAAAGAATAAAAAATCAAACTTTAAACGTGATTGTGAAAACTGAGAAAGAAGACAAAAAGGCGATGCAAAGCACTAGCTGACGCACGAAGAAGTTAAAAAATGGAAAATGATAATATTCATTATTTAAAATGTAAGTAAAGTTTTTAATATTTTATCAAAAATTAATTAATGAACTTTCATTTTAGTTTATTCTTAAAATTTATATCGTTTTTATTTATTTTTATAGTAATTTATAATCATTAAATTTTAATTATAGATGCAGATAAAAATATACTATTTGAATTTTTAGTATTTTTAAATAATACAGAAAGATTATTTTTCCAAAAAATATATTATTAATACCATTATTAAATAGTTGAGTAAATAAAAAAAAAACAAAGGAAACAGGGTATGGGAAATCGAAGCGAGGCACGTGCCGCCACGTCTTCACTGATGGAGTTATGAGTCTCTTTCTGCTCTCTGAATGACATCACATGTTATCACCCACCTCTCACCCTTTTCTTTATCCTTTTCCAATGGATTTACTTTCTCAGCCTTGCTCTTTTCCATATACCCCGTTTAATCCTATCAAAATCAAAGCACATTTTTTAAATAAAGAATAAAATATCGAAAGGCCCAAATGCATAATAATATTTAGACCATCATCATTATCAGAAATAAATATAGGAAAAATATTACTATAATTAAATTAAAAATCAGTTTATGTTATTATTTATTAGTAGTATTAAGTTATTATTTTCATCACCATTCACAAGTAGTGAATCCGAAACATACCATCCAAGGAAGATGATGGGTAAAACCGGTAATTTAAACCATCGACACTTAAAATGCAAGACAAACTCAATGACGTTATATAAAAAACAACGGACGCTACTTCTCGTTGTGCCTGCTCCTTTTTCTATTACTATTCTAGTCCCGTCTTTAGCTGCCTTCTTCCGAGCATATGCATATCTCCTCGCTCTCTGCGCTTTTTCTTACTCTGTAATTACGTGCCCTGCAAGCTACTCAAGCCTCATTCCTCCCTCTCTGCTATCTCTTTTCCGCTTTTCCTTTCTCTTCTCGTTATGGTTTTACTTCAAAGCCTTAACACCACTATTACTCAAACTGAAACTGAAACCGCAACTGCAACTCAACTCTCTTCTTCTGATGGCCACCCCATCGAAACGCCGCGTTTCAGTCAAGACTTTGATTCTACCTGCTCCACTCCCTACGTTAGTGCACCTTCGAGCCCCGGTCGTGGTCCCACCTCGGGATACTTCTTTAGCGCGCCGGCTAGTCCCATGCATTTCGTGCTTTCTTCTGCTCCGTCCTCCACGTGTCATCATTCATCCGATTCCTTGTTAATCTCGGCGCAATCAGATGGGTCGTCTTTCGAGTTCGAGTTCTCGTCTCGCTTCTCTAACAGTGGTTCGGTAGCCGTTGGGTCCATGAGCTCGGCTGACGAGTTGTTCTTGAACGGCCAGATCAGGCCCATGAAGCTCTCCTCTCACTTGCAAAGACCTCAAAACCTAGCTCCTTTATTAGATCTAGATGTCGAAGACGATGACGTGGAATTCAAAAACGACAAGGAAGCTTCTAGAGGAAGAGATCTGAAACTCCGAAGCAGATCTCTTCACAGAAAGGCGAGATCATTATCACCGCTTCGAAACGCAGAGTTTCAATGGGAAGAAGAAGAAGTAGTGTGTAGCAGAGAAGAACAAAAAGAAGTTAGCCAGGGCATTTTGGAAGGTTTAAAAGAAACAGTTACTTCAAACGAAACGACTCCGTCATCTTCTGCTTCTTCATCAAGATCCTCATCATCCGGCAGAAACTCCAAAAAATGGATATTCTTAAAAGATCTTTTATATCGAAGTAAAAGTGAAGGAAGAGGAAATGAGAAGGAAAAGTTTTGGACTTCCATTTCTTTCTCTCCGTTAAAAGAAAAGAAGGTTCAAATTCAAGAGGAAAAGCCACCTCCTTTGAAACAGAAACAAAAGGAAAACAAACCAGGAGTAGGTAAAAAACTGAGTTCTGGGAAGCCATCAAATGGGGTAGCAAAACGACGGGTGCCGCGGTCGCCGCACGAGTTACACTACACGAAAAACAGAGCTCATGCTGAGGAAATGAAGAAGAGGACTTACTTGCCTTACAGACACGGATTGTTTGGGTGCTTAAGCTTCAGTTCGAAAGGTTACGGTGCACTTAACGGACTCGCCAGGAGTTTAAATCCAGTCTCATCCAGGTAGTTAACGGAGGACGGATTTAGAAAAAGGGTCTTTATTTTATGTATAGTTTCTTTTTCGGGGTTTTTTGAGGATATTAAATTATATAATAATATAGTTTAATGTATTTTTATTGTAAGTTTCAGGTTGCCTAATTGCCTTTTACTACTAGTACTATGTTTTTGTACAGTAGAAAGAAGCTATATTATGTTTTAATCGAAGTTGTTAAAGCTTCTTCAGCTGCCTGCCTTGCATTATCTGAATCTGAATTTTGAAAGTTTGTTAATTGCATTTACCCTATCGATTAAAACCGTTTGAAGAGTCGTTAAGAATTTGGATTTGAATCAAAATTTTCTGTTTTCTCCTTATACTAAAATTGTGTATGTAACAAAAAAAAATATTTCTTATCACTCTAGGACCTGGCAACACCCTATTTTTTATTCTTTTCTGGTGGGGAGGTTGCCTTGCCGTGCAATAATTTATTTGTGTTTCTGTTTAGCATCTGAGTTCCCCTGCCTTTTTCAGACTACTTGCATGAGACTCTGTGAAATGGTAGTGGCATCTTTTGTTGTTTTTGTCTTCTTGTTTTCGTAGGGTAGTGTTGTCGTGGATGGATATTTTTATTGTATGTGTTCACTATTATTAAGGATACATTAGTTCTTCATTATCTGGTGTGGGGTATTTCCTCCCTGTGGACCAGTTTTTGTTTGTTAATCACCACAACCTTCTTTCCGAAGCTTTGATTTTTCAGGTTGTTTGTCCCCCCTTGCAAGTACTGAATGATAGAAAGGACAGGTTAGGGATTATGCGGGGGTGGTGGCTAATTCCTGCACGTTTGTGAAGATAACAAATCATAAGTAGTATCCCATCGTTTCTAAGCCTCACCCAACAGATTAATTTGCTGCTCGAAATTAGCTGACCCACATGGGGCGTGTTCATATTGTTAGGTGAGCTGGAAGCCTCTGTTATTGTCCATTTCAAAGGAGGGATTGGATTTTCAGAAAAAACCTCATTAGGCCCACGTAGGACGACCTTGTGTTTAGTTAGGTATTAAAGATATGACCCGCACCTGCCTTTGAAAGGCTTTGTATCTGACCTTTTTGGGCGTTTCCCATCTACTTTCGTTGTTGTTTGCTTGTATTTGATTGTGGGACCAGATTTTCCTTAGGAATATCGAGTTGGATTTCTGTGATTGTATTTTTATACACTTTGGGGATTATTGAATGCGGCTCATCGTTATTGATATGCACATGGGCAATCAGATCAAGATAATGGTTGTTTTAACTTATGGGCAAGTGGGTAAATGCAAAAGTGAAACTAAACAAAGGAGAGAAGAAGGGATTGTCTACAATCACTCCCGTTTCAGGGAATTTTGGGTTCTGGCTCTTTGAAGGCCGAACACGGATAGGCGAATAGCAATGTGTTCAAGCATTGCTCAGGCTGAGTTAGGAATTGGGCTATCGTTATCGTGAACCGTCTAGGAGAGAAAGCTGTTGCCTGCCAGCTTCAGTGGCCTGTGCAGTGTGCATCAGATATTTTGGGCCATTGTGCCGACTGTGGACCAAACTCCATAGATTCGTGTTGCTAAACGCATTCCAACATCAATTTTGGTTGCCCTTTTTTGTATTTACTTTTTCCATTCCCAATGTCCATAGAGATGGAGTATATCATGCTTTTCTGATTCATTTCATCAACTCACAGCGATGTTGATGCCCAACTCTTACTCTAAATTTGGGGTAGGTCTATCCCCAGTTTTAAAGGTCGGGATGAGCCCAGTTCATCTTTTTCTTTTTGGTTTAATTTTCAAATTTGCCTTTCAAGTTCTAATGATAGCAAAGAAAATAACGTATAAAATGTTCTCATCAGCAGGTTTAACTTTTTTCCAAATGCATCAGGAAATTGATTTATACGGTAAAAATTGGAGGATTCTTTAACAGAAATGAAGACAATATTGTAGCACTTACCTCCCAGTTGGAGCTCTACGTCTGTCAGATAATTTATTTATTTTAATGTGATGTTGAGAGTTTGCATCATTTAATTTTTCTTTGGAGGGAGAGTCAAATCATATGCTTTGTCGTCGGCATCTTTTGAGGTTGATATATCACTTATCCTCTGGGGGTCTTATTTTTGCCTTTGGCTTTTTCTTTCCGGAGCATTGCTGCTTCCATTAATCATATCCCGATGTTTTGGTTTTATTGTCATTTACGATCTATTTCGGCTGAAATAGCAACTCTAATCTCTCCCTAGTTGAGTTGATACTGCTAGTTTGAACGGTTAAAATGGGTAAAAAACATGTACCAGAAAATCTACTCTTTTGTATTAAAAAAAAGTGAAAAAAAAATCGAAATCCTCCACATTAACACGTGTCAAGAGCTGAAACATATGACATAATCTCTATCCTACAATCGCGAAACAGGTTACTATTTCTCCTCGATCTCCCCGGCCATATTACCGCAGTTTCACTTTATTCTCTTTGCTCGTTCACTGTCCCAATCCTAAAGCTAAAATTGTCAATTTGCTGCTCTCTCTAATTCAATTTTTATCCAAAAGAAACGAAAATTCAGAGCTAAAAATTCAATGGGTCCTGAGTCGAGCTCCGCAACAACATCATCATCGACGCCATCCCCAAGTGGGAAACGAAGCAGAGATCCTGAAGATGAGGTTTATCTTGACAATCTCCACTCTCACAAGCGTTATCTCAGTGAGGTTTCTTTTTTCTCTTTTTTTTTTTTTAAATCCCCAAATTATCTAATTTTAAAATTTTAATCTTTGTTTAATCGTATACTATTAGATATCCCGAGAGTTGAAAGTTCAATGTTCTATTTTTTGTAGGTTAATTTATCTGGGCAGTTGTTATCTACACGAGGCATTTGTTTGTTTCGTTGTATATTTTAGATATTTGCATTAAAGGGCTTGAATCATTGAAAAATTAAAATCTTTGTTTGCAGATAATGGCGTCTAGTTTGAATGGATTAACTGTTGGGGACCCACTTCCTGAAAATCTAATGGAATCTCCGGCTAGGTCTGAAGGCATGTTCTATCCCAGGTTAGTTGTTGTCTCAAATTTAATCAACTAAGTATTTTCTAGTTTCTATGCGTTTTGATATTCGGACTTTCTATTCTAGTCTAGTCCCTGTATTGTCAAACAAATCCATAAGTAGGAAAGATTGGAGGGACTAATTGGGTTTTTCATGTTATGAATTCACCCCTGGAATTAAGCTACTAATTGATTGATGATAACTAAATTGGCATACTTATCAAAATTAGCATAGTTAATGACTTGAAGATAGCTTTTCTTGGTTGCTATTGGATATGCTATTGGAAGTTTCAATTCTGTATAATCGCTCCATATTCCAGTAGCTGTTCTTGGGTGCTTAAAATACAATATAGAATATTATCTTTTACCTCGTGGTAATCTATCTAGTGTTTTCTTCCGATTTAGGACAAAATGTTGATGTTATGTCAATCTCACAATAGGCAGAAGGTGTTTTCTGTGATTCTTGTCTCAAATTGTAGCCTGCAACTGGGTTGCATCATCTGAAGGATTTATTTTCAATTTTTATGTGATAAAGATGGATTGTATTTTATAAGACGGTAGTTCGCCTACTGCATAGGTTTGCTGGTGTCTGATTATGTTTCAAATTATGTTAATTTTTATTCACACTTATTAGTACATTGAGTGAGGAAGTATGCAACAGGTGGAGTTGGAGCAGTATGGCATTTGCATGTCCAGAATGCTAATTCTAAACGCCATTTTACTCTTTTCTCTACATATGACTTACCTCAGTAGTATAATCTTTGTTTCTACATTTCCAAATCAATGTGATTAAGTATTTTGCATCTTTGAAAACTCATCCTCACTATCTTTGCAGGGATGAAATGTTGTGGCAATACTCACCGATGTCAGAAGATTCAGATGACTCTAGATTTTGTGAGACGCCTATGAACAGTTGCTTTTCCCATTCTGACAGCTTGCCTACTAGTCCTGTTTCCCCACATAGATATCAAAGACCACTGAATGGTTTCTGCTCTGCTCCTTCAACTAGTTCATACCCTTCACATGGGAATGTCAATTCTGTTGCTTGTTCACAGCCTCGCCAAAGAGGCTCAGATACAGAGGGCCGGTTCCCCTCCTCACCAAGTGATATTTGCCACTCTGCTGACTTAAGGAGGGCAGCACTCTTGCGGTCTGTACAGATGAGAACACAGCCTTCTGGTCCATCATCATTCGAATTGCCATTTGGTTCAGGCCAAGAGAATGTGCCTAATATTGAAGTTGAGGAGCGGCCTTGCTCATTTATGAAGTCGTTAGTTGATGATAGAGAATATCAGATTGAAGAGTGTTCTTCATCGGGTATCTCAGAGCCTGAATTTAGTCGAGAGAAATCTTGCAGAGTGTCAAAGATGAATTTGAAAGAGGATGAATCCGGGGTTTAGATGCTTTAAGAAATGACTGATAAAACCCGGCTCGGGCCTCATTTGGACCTACCTTCATTGTAGAATTGGACCGATTGTTGTAACATGTAATAAATTTTTGTGGAGAGCGAGTCGCAAGGCCATACTTTTTTGGTTCATCATCAACAGCATCAAATTTATGAGTTAGCATCTGCTGTTTCTTTGTCCTGAATGGAAAATTGGCTACGCGGTCTGCACCAGTCTTGTGGTCGAACTTTTCATGACTAGAAATTGATCCCTGAATAAATTGTATAGTCTGTTTCATCTTCTTTCTTGTGATTTAAATCTGCTAAAATTCTTCAATAATTATCATTTGATTTGCAGGCAGGTCCACATTCATAGCAAAAATTAATTTCAGAATCTCAGATAAGTTATCCAGAAGCTGGTCAGGATTATGCTTTGGTAGGTCTAATTGTCAATTTATCCAAGCTTTGTTAAAGGAGCGTGTTAATAGAATAAGTTGAAAAGTGAAAAACCAAACAAAAGGAGGTTAGCATGCCCTGGTTTTAATTGATGTCCCCGATAGTTCAGAGCGTGACAGCGAGGCTTGATTATTCAAGGCTAGAGTCCAGCTAGTTTGGAACTGACGCCCCCATATATCGCTGTTTATTAAATACCACTAAGCTATAATTATAGTTATGATTTCAGCTAAGGAGAAAAATAATAGCCGCTAGAAAGTGTATTTTTAATTCAAAAGGTTAAAGAAAGGCTATCATACGAAAAGAATGGCACACATTTGAGGAAATGCCGAATAAAATCACAGCTCTAACTGGTAATAGTTCTCATAAAGAAAGTTGTTTACTACTCTACGGCTGCACGCATGTGCTTAATTGCAATCAAGGCCTAGGGCTTTGCTACTGAAAGATCCCCTCAAGATTAAAATTAGAGTGAAACACTATATTCCCCCACTGGGAGGAAAATCAATACTCGAAAACTAGTCAGAAAATCCACCGCTGCACTAGACAAGCGAAATACAGTGATCTAAGAATTTCATGCAAATGTTGATAGGATATTCTTCTTGACCGTGAATTCATCAGCTTTTGCTGGGCTTATTGACTGCACCAAAAACAAAGAAAAACTCATGGTTAAGAGCTATCTCTAATAACAAATGCTTATAATACAAATTCAGGGTCGTACAATTAATTGCAACTTAACCACCCCCTCAAAGTGGGCATCAACATGAGTTCACTTGACTGCAGAATTTTAATTGTAAGTTTGTTTATAATCTACCGTAAGAGTGATGGCATGGATGATGTAAGGTTAGCATCTTATTAATTAATTGTAATCTTCAAACCACCAAAACGAAAATTTACTTCTATTTCATCAGTAGTCCTTACCTTGTCAAGAATACGGTGAAGCCGCTCAATTTCCTTTTCGGGATAATCAGCACCTTTCTCCAAGCAGCTTTTAGCAGCTTTCAAGTATATTTTTCCATACCTGACAACCAGCAGCAACAGAAACAGTTATACAAAGAACAGTAGTTCTTTGAAACACAAAAATTAAACAGGAAACTAAGAATTGACAAGTTCTCCTTTGGAGCTTAATCTAAAGAAACCAATTAAATACCTCGCAGTGGAACCCTTAAGCGTCTCAACTTCCTCTTCAATTTTAGAGAAGACTGCTTTCTTCTCATCATTGCTAGCAGCCACAAACTCCTTCACCAATGCATCCAAACTTGACAAAATACCAGCCTAAGCAAAAAAAGAAGGGGAAAACAATTGATCTCACACAGAAGTATCAATAATAACAGTGACGTGCCAGTATATAGTATGAGCTACTAACCTTTGAAGTTAACTGCCCTTTTGTATCACGACTGGTGCCACACTTCTCATTGATAAAAGTAACAAAGTCATCTAGATCCCTGCCGCCATCGTAGTCTTCACCAGCTTTGTTGCCTTTTGGAAAAAATTTCAATGTTGGATACCCACTTACTCCATACCTGCACTAACAACAAAGGCCTTAACATTCATTCATACATTAACAAACCACTTATAAAGGAAAACTGATCTTTTGATTAAATTTACACTTACTTTTCAGCTAGATCCTTGTATTTGTCAGCATCTAGATTAGCTATCACTACATCTTTTTCTGATTTAAATGCTGTCGCTACCTTTTCATAGGTCTGTCGGGACAACAACAATAAAGAGTTAGAAAGGACTAAGGACATCACCATCTTAGCAAAATAATCATGCCTACTTTATTAAGAAAAGATATAGATGCTTACAGGAGCAAGGTTTTTGCAATGACCACACCTGGCAAAAGACAAATCCAGAACTTGGTCAAAAGACATTAAGTAGAAAAGATGGAAGAAAAAGAATATCAACAGGATTTGTTACATGTGTCTTGAGGTCCTTATAGTAAAGCTCCCACCTAAGTGGATTTGGAACAGCCGAACTAGAAAAAGCTCCGAACCTTAAATATTTTTGCAAAAACTACCAAACAAAAATGTGTAAATGCTTACCAGGGTGCATAAAACTCAACCAATACATCTTTGGTCTCATCGAGGACAAGTTCATTAAAATTATCAGCACCTAGCACTGCAACATTGGATGGCAAAGTGGCTATCTTCACATTGGTCCCTATAAAACAATATATGAGCTTAGCAAAATCCTGGTGGGTTTTGGCCTTTGGGCATCAATCCACAGGAAGTCAACCTTGGGAAACACATAAGATAGAAATAAAGACAGAATTTCCTGGATTAAGCAAACCACAACTAGAAACTTCTACAAAGGAAAAAGACAAATGCACCTCCTTCAGTGTTCACAAACTCAGCAAGTGACTCTGCGTTGCGTGGTCCTTCATACCTAGATACAACAATTTTGATCTACCATGAGCATGTTATAAATAAAATGTTTATACAAATAACAAAACTTAACACAAAACAAGATAAAAACTTTACCGCATTCTGTTTCTACGAGCTAAATTATACTCACTTTTTAGGCTCCAAAGAGCCTTTAGGAAACCACTTAATAGTTGGGTAGCCTTGAACACCATATTTGCTGCATAAACTCTTATGCTCGTCACAGTCCACCTACACCCATATCAACAAAAGAAAATAATTTCTAATAAAACAGTAGCAATAGCAAGAAAAAAAACTTCATCATAATAAAATTTTCACAATTCAAAAAAGAATACAAAGGAATTCAAAACAAGTAGTATAAATACAGTCGCTGAACCATAAAAATTCATATACTGACTACCAGATCTATGAAAATTATAAAACGCTAACCTTTCCAATCAAGACCGATTTAGCATTCTTAAAACTTGCGCCAAGCTTCTCATACTCGGGAGCTAACTTCTTACAGTGCCCACACCTGTGGTTGAAAAAACGATCATTTTGAGAATACAACTAGCTGGAACTTAAATTTTTGGCCATAAAAAAACGATTATTCTAGATCCATAGACAGAAGTGAGATCAATGAACTGAAATGTCTTAAAAAAAACATATACCCAATTCAAATTATTTAGAAATAAATAAACACGCCTTGAAAGGAACATCTTTAGAAACAATTCAGTGATCTACAGAATTGATCCTAATAAACAAGTGTCAGAAACGAAGAAAAAACGATAGGAGATAATCATCGATGTTGTTCTCATTTCAATTGCTGAAGATAGATCTAACGATCAATTAATGAAGATCTAATGTAAACACCAAAAAACATAAATCATATAATCTAATCTAATTAAAAGAGAGAGAGAGAGAGATTTGCCATAGAAAATTTATTACCAAGGAGCATAGAACTCGACGAGAGCTCCTCTGTCTTGACCAACTTCCTTGTCGAAGTTTTCTTCAGTTAGAACGATGACGTCTTCGGCCAAAGCTGATGCCAATAACAAGCCTAAGGTTCCAAAGGCTAACCAGATCTGAGACTTCTCCATTTCTTTGTTTGTCTTTTGTATCTAGCTTCCTCTGTTTTCTCTACTTCCCTGGTTTTCGATATTTATTTTTTTCCCCGGCTAAAGGAGAATTTTAGAAGCGGAAGATTTCTCCTTTTTCATTTTTTACTTTTATTAAATTAAATAAAAATATTCTATAATATTTTGCATAAAATATATTTTTCTTCGAGCATACTGATATCTTGGGTAGGCTTGTTTGGTTGTAGCTGTGGACTAACGGGGAAAAAAGTTTAAAGGACGGACGTGGTCAGACGGAACACCGTAATCTCTACCCTAATCGACGACGTGGCATAGTTTCATTTGATGAAAATCATGATCAGTATGTTGGCGCATTTTTTACGATGATGCGTAGCGGATATGATACGCTCCTTGCCTCTATGGCCAAGCGAACGCACAGTGACGTGTTCTGATGACATGGCAAACCGTAATAGGCTCGGCTGCCAAGGAAGCCGCAATAGTCCCTTTTTTTTTTTTTTTTTTAAGAACCGTCATAACCCAAATAGTTGAATGTGGAATTGGGCTAAAACCCAATATGACTTTGTCTTGAGCAATACAATTATAAAGACAAGATTTTGTTTTTTCAGAATATATAGAAAAGGGAAATTAACAAGCTATTTGTTATTCACAGATGCGGACATAAAAAATTTATAACACCCATGTAATCTATTAATAAAATGATAAATTTTGAATTTCAATAATCAAAATTGCTAATTTTAAAATAGTCCTTTGATTTCTGGGCTAACCAATATGGACATTTTTTTTCCTTGAGTTTACATGGGCTAAACACTTCTCCTGTTATGCGGTTTGGTTGATGTGATGGACTTCTAAACATGGTGACAGTGATGGAGTATTCCTGTTGCCTGATCCATGAGATTTACATAAAAAATAAATAAATAAAAATCTCCCAATGATCATTGCTCTTAACATATTTCCTCGAGAAAGCTACCAAAAGCCAGAACTCATTCTAGTAATTGCTGCTGGGAATTTACATCTCACTCTAAGTCTGCCTTAAGAGGGTGGTTTCAAGGTGTAACACAGAATGATGCAAATACCCAAGTCTTCTGCACAAATCTTCTTCAGAAATATTTCTTTTTTTTTTGATAAAAACATTTAAAAATAAATAAATTGTTTAATTTTTTAAATAAAAATAAAATATATCATATTTAATAATTTAAAATAAATTACTATAAATTATACATCTGATATAATCTTAATAAATAATCATAAATAAAACTTGAATCCAATATTTTTTTATTAATAAAAACAAACTTTAACCACTTGAACCAATTACTTTATTGGTTAAATATTTTCATTTTCATTTCAGCCAAATGTCCACTAATTTTTAACCCTAAGTCATCTTGAGCAATTAGTTCTTTTGAGAAAATCAAATTTCGTGTACTAATTAAATCATAATTAAATTAGTCAATTCTAAGTATACGAAAATTAAATTTTTATTCTGATACTCGGAATTAGAGTTTTTACTAAAATTTTGATATTTCAAATTTAAATATTTTGACTATAAAAATATTAAAATATTTTGACTATGAATTTTGAAAACAAAAATAAAGTTGGAGGAAGAAAAGAAATAAGTTGTCGTCGTATGTTAAAAGCAAAACGTGAATGTCCTACAAATCATAAATCTAATCTCATAAATATATATATATATAAATTTATCACATAGATATTTATGTAGACAATTTTCTTAAATGATACATAAAATATTTTTTTTAAATAAGATAATTTATTTTAATTACAAATTAGATAATTTTAAGTTTATTCAAATATAAAAAGTATTCAAATTATAATTAAAAATTAAATAAATTTAGAGATATATTTTTAAAATAATAAATATGAAATATGTATTTTTATTTTTTTAATAAATAATTTTAGTTGTTTATCAAATAATTTTATTTAATAAATTATTTAATTATCAAAATCTTTCAAACATGTTTAAAAATTATAAAGATTAAGTTTATCCAAATCATTCAATAATCTTTTTTTATCTTGATTTAAAAAATTATCTTTTTAAAAATTTTATGTAAGACATTAAAATTTCAAACAATTTTATGTAAGATTTTAAAAATTCAAAAAAATTTCATCTTAAAATTTTAAATAATAAGATCATCAAAACCATTATATCAATTTGAACTCTAATTATAAAATTTATAATTCAAATAAATGTAAAAAATTTAATATTATATTTATCACTTATTATATCAATTTTAAATTTTAAAAATTAATTTAAAAATTATCTATTTAATCTTAATTACCACCAAATAATTAGTCTATAAATTTAAGACTACAAATGTAATGTATTATACATCAAATTTTTTTTATTTTTTAGTAACTTTTTTTCAAATTATATTTTATTACTATTGCAATTTGTTTTGTTTATAACTTTTTTTCAATATATATATTTTATTATTATTACAATTTCATTATTATAAAAATAAATTTTTTTTAAATTTTTTTTCATATATTTTCTAACATTTTTCATATTTTGCATAATAATTTAATCAAAATTACTCAAGTGAAAATATGTTAATATTTTTTATTATTTAATTTATCATTTAATAATATATATTTTATTTTTTAAAAAATACATAATTTACTTTTATTGATATAATCTTACAAGTATATAAATATTATTGTAAACAAAAATATAAAAAAATATATTTTTTCTGGCTATTTTCAAAAAATTTATTTTTTTAATGATAAATCAATATATATATATATATTTATATATGATATGAAATTTAAAAACTTTAAATATAAATTAATTTATATATTTTATATATTTATATTAAATAAATAAAATTATTTCATGCATCACACTATTATAATTTAGTATTAATTATAGAAAAAATGGGGGAAAAAAGTATAATGAACATGTCTTTTGACTTTAATATATATTGCTGGTTTTGAGAGTAAGATTGATGACCTCCATGTTTTGTTGCAATGCTCTACAAATGAGCCTGGTTTGAAGATTTTTGGCCTGCAACTATTTGTGGTATTAACAAGTTAATAGTAATGAACAAAACGAAAACTAACGAAAATTAAAAACTAGTTTGAAAACAGTTTACCCCTAGCTACGGTGGGTGATTTTTCGTGATGAAGTTAAGAATTGTCTGATAAGGAAAAAAAAAAAGTGATAGAAAGACTAATCGCTCAGGAAAACCAGGCATGAATGTTATCCTGCTTCTGCAAAATCTGTCATCCGGGCACTGTGTTTGTCATTTTAAAGTTTACATTCAATTGGTTTTTTTGTTTGTTGTTTCCCACTAAAGAAATCTGCCTTCATATAAATGGCCTACCGTAGCTACTGGATGGAATTAAAAACCTAGCTGCCAAGCCTTCAATCTTCATAGAATACAACACTAATATGGTAGCAGTAGTACTTATACTAGTAATATAATACTGGCTGCAACTGACACCTGGTATATAAAATAGGCTGGCCACCGTCATTCAAAAACGAAATGAATGTATATGTCCAGGACGTACCGGACAAATATATGCCCATGCCTGACCCAGAACAGTTTGACGGATAAATGTAAATGAGATATGTAGAGTAGTCCTGCTCCAGTTCCAAACGCATTCAACTCTTTCAGATATTAAATTTTCAGAAAAAAAACGTACAACTCATCTCTCTTCTTAGGGAATAGAAGCTAGTAGTAGGGTTTTTTTTTTTCTTCTAATTTTGTTGGAGCTTGGGGTTGGGAACCAAACTCCGGAAAACATCGATAAGAAGCCGAAGCCCAAGCCAAAGCCACAGCAGAGCAGATCTGTCCATCGTCTTACACGCTTAGCGACTCAGGCTATGTATTAGCAAAAATTCAGCTGTGCCCCCATCTTTTAGGAAATTGTACAAGAGAGAAAAAATCCCTGCCAGAAGGAAGCGTAGAGAATAGGCCGTGGTATAGATGTCCGCCTGACTGGTGAGGTGACAAGATTTGTTCTTTGTCAGTTAATTACACTAATTGTCTTACATATAAATGACGAAAGCTCCCCACTTGACCCCACGGTAAGAGCACAGCCCTGGCTGCTTGGTGTAGTCAACAAGGAGACGCTGAAGGCAACAAATAAGGACTTAACTAGCTAACTGGGTTAAAGAAACTGTTTGTCCAATCATGTCCGATTGACAAACTGAACATCGAACACCCACTAAAGTTTTATTGGAGAGATAAGAGGTAAGCCTTTGGCTCCAATAATATGCCTATGAAACTTTTGATTTAAAAACTGTACGAGATGGGGATCCTACTGGTAATAATTTCTCTCATACTATCACTATCAGGACCAAAATTATTTTTTCACACCAATAAATGAGGTGGGTACACGTACATAACAAAAATCCAGGCTTGTCAGATACGGACATTTAAAAATTAAATAATTGTAAATTTTTTCGAGAAATAACAAGCACTCCCTCCGACTTAAATTATTTAAATAATATTAAGTTTTATGAAATTTAAAAATAATTTGATTTTAATATATTTAATATTAAAATTAAAATTTCATCATTTTTAATGTTAAAAATTAAAAATAAAAATTTTAAATATTTAAAAAAAATAAAAAAATATATGCACTTATCGTCTCTAAATTTTTAATATAATGATTAAAAACATTTTAAAAATATTAAAAAATTAATTTTAAATTAAATATTTTTTTATTTGTATTAAAATTTTATTCTTTTGATGTAAAAAAAAAGTATATGCACTTATCAATTATCATGGTATGTTTTATTCACAGTGGAGTTTATCATATAATATTTGGTTTTATTTTTTTTTGGGATAATTCATATTAATGACAATAATGAAGATGACGTACTGTCTTTATCAGGAACTTGGGAGTGTTTTGCTACTCATTGAGCGTCGAGGATACATTTGGGTTGGAAACTGTTCTAACGTTTGAAGGATCCGTCAATTTTTCATCCTCTAATTCGTCGGAGATATGTCATGGTCCGGCCGTCGTGATCGTTCCAAAAAAGTAAAGGGGAGGGTCCATATTCACAAAGCATGGCCCAGTTGGCTCCACCGCTAGCCTGGGCAGCACTAGCAAAACCCACGCGAGTAGGGATCGTTCGACCATTATTATGTGCTGCTCTTACGCCTGCCACGTAGGGAGAGTGATGAACACATGTTACCAATTGGCCCATTACTGAAACAATAACATGAGAGCCGTATGGCTTTGTTGCACTGAACATAAGTGATGGAATTCATACAAACGTCACTGTTTATTATTACATTGAATTTGAAACGTACGGATTTGATAAATTTGAATAAATAGTTGACTTGAAATATTAAAATAAA